TCAATGGTTTTAGTCTTTCTTTTAACCTACGGTGTAGATCATTTACAATGTCACTGTTAATACCAACTCCAAGGTATTTGTGCTGCCCACACGTTTCAATGTTCTGGTTGTTGACCTTGAAAGTTATAGGGACATGAGTTTTCTCTTTGGGATGGAGAACTCTGGATTTAGTTATAGAGATAACAAGACCACATTCAATGCTTTTAGCAGCGAATGAATCAAGTAGAGCTTGCAGTCTAGTTTGGGAATTTGCAACAATGCATATATCATCGGCATAACAAATGACGGCTTCGTCAGGTAGTGTGGGAATATCAATTGTTAATTTGTGCATCAGAACATTGAACAGTGTGGGACTTAGCACTCCACCCTGGGGTGTACCCAACTCAAAGGGTGCACAAAGTTTACTTTTGACCCCCTTGAAAAGGACTGAGGCCGTTCTGTTACTCAGGTAACCCCTGAGCCATGTCAACAGTCTTCCCCTAACTCCAAAAGAGGCTAGCTGTTCTAGGATTATTTCTCTGTTTGCTGTATCAAAAGCAGTTTGGAGATCAATAAATGCCGCCTGAGAGTTTTGTCCTTCTCTGATAAAATACTCAGCAAAGCAAGTTTGTGTGCTTCTTCCAGGAAGGAAACCATACAGGTTAGGGGCAAGGTGGGGCTTGATTTGAAACATTAGTCTGTCGAGAATAATTCTCTCAAGAACTTTGCACATGCCCGACGTCAGAGAAATGGGTCTAAATTTTTGTGAATTAGGCTTGGGTATGGGTATTATGAGTCCCTGTGTCCAGCGGTCAGGTAAAACACCCTGCCTTAGACTTTGATTAAACAATTCTAGCAAAGGGCTATTTGGCAGCTCAGCAAGTACTCTCATGGTGTTGTATGTGATGCCATCCTCTCCAGGAGAGGTAGCCTTACCTTTCTTGAGTGCATTTTTAATTTCAAAGGGGGTTATGCCATAGTTATCATCAGGCCCTATTTCACTACAGGCAATTTCAATATTGAAGTTACGATTTATTTTAGTACTAGCCAGATAGTTTTGCACATCTAGGGGCAGGCTGCTTATACTAGCAGTGCTTGCATATTGCTGAAGCAGCATGTCGGCATAGTCTACAGGTGAATGGTGATCAAGTTGACGACTGCTAGGACGAGAAATCTTTTTAATTTTATTCCACATTTGGGATGAGGATGTTGCATGATTGATGCCTTGCAGAAACTGTTCCCAGTGCTGGTTATACACCTGTTCCTTTAGCTCTCTAAACTCTCGGCTGGCTTTAAGAAATATGTTGAGGGTGTCAGCTGTTTTATGTGTTTTATACTGCTCAGCTAGGAATAGAACTCTGTCATGCAGGGGCATAAGGCGTGAGTCAGTGAACCACCTCTGTCCCTTCCTCATTGGTTTGGGTCTTGCGGATTTTACAACATTGTCATAAAAAGCGGTTACTTCAGTGACCAGGTCCTCATATAATGCATTGACGGTAGTAAAGCAGTAAGTGTTATACCATTCAGAAATGCGGAATTTGAAGAGCATGTGTAAATTTTCAGGGATATTAATTATTTTTTTTCCAAAGCTTAGGGGTTTGACATTATTGATAGTGTATGAACTGAATATGGCAAAATGATCACTAACTAATTCATGAACAATTGATCCTCCGACAGCATTATCAATGAGGCCGTGACCAATGACATAATCAAGCCTGCCACCCCTGAGGTGTGTGACGTTAGAGGAGTCAAAGTTGAATACGGACATGTTATTATCTCTTAAGTATTTTACAAAGACTCTGCCATTCCCGTTTGTTTTGGTGTCACCCAGGCTAGTGTGTCTAGCATTAAAATCACCCATTACAATGGTTTGAGAGCTGCTGGTAATTTTTGGGAGAGAAGCTTCCACCATTTGATCACACCTTACATATACATTAACTAAGTTAAGAAACCCGGTCGCTGTAGCAATCTGAAACTGCTGATAATATGAGTCGTCACTTTTGTGGTTTTTAACATGTTTACACACTAGGTTACTTTTAACATACGTCAAGATACCGACATCATGGGAACCAACATTTGAGAAAGCTACATAACCTGAGAGTTTGGGTGGCGTTTTATTTTTTGTGTTTGCAGTGTATGGTTCCTGCAAGCACAATACATCAATGTTGTTGGCACCAGCGTACATCATTAGATCAAACAGCCTCCTTCGCACGCTTCTCACATTCCACGTGAGAAATTTAAGAGTGAGTTGGTCGTGGGTAATGGTGTTCATAAACCTGACGAAGAGAAGTGTTTATAAGATTCACAAGTTGTAGACTATTGCTTACAAATGCCAATTGTTCATCGTCATTAATGGCAAAGAGTTCTTTCACCTGTTTCAAGCTCAGCTGGCTGCCTGTATTTTTCCTATCATTTACAATCATTTCATGTTCGTCAGGAATCGTAGACACACAAGCGGTATTGTTTTTAATGAGTTCTTGAGTGAATTTGTTAAATACATCTAAGATACACGGGTTTTCATATGTTTCACTCGACACAACGGTACTTACAGCACTGGAGGAGGCGTCAAGACTTGCTCGAGACGTGTCAAATCTTACAGCACTGGAGAGGGGGTCAATACTTGCTGGAGACGGGTCAACACTTATAGCACTGGAAGGCATTTCACTAGAGACTCGGACGTTCGCTTCACTCCTCGGGCTGGCGAGATGATCGCTTGAACACTGACTCGGGTTGTCCATGGTGATCTTAGCATAAATGCTGTTGAGACCATTTTCAATCTTCGTGAGTGTTTCTTGGAGCTTATTGACGGTAATTTCTATTTTGTTCATGCGAGCTGGAAGTTCTAACACCTCCCTCTGCAGGCTGGCGTCAGGCTTCCCAGGTAGGCCAGGGAAGGTTGTCAGGCTGTTGGTGTCAGGAACGGTGGTGGGGTCATTCCGGGTGTGGGGGCGGGTAGGTGTAGTGGTGGGGCCACCCCGGGTGGGGGGGCTGACTGGGGTGGTGGAGGGTTGCCCCACTGCGCTGTACGGGGGAGGCCGCCTGTCACAGTCCTTGTGCCAGGCGGTCACGCCCTCCCGCAAGCACCTGGAACACTTGAGCTTGGTGGCTGAGGATGAGGTCTCATCGGTCCCAGGGGCGTGGTCTTTATTGGGGCAGTCTTTAGTGAGATGATTGTCTGCACAGAAGGCACAGGTGCCTGAAGATTGACAGTGTTTGGCTACGTGACCAAAGTGTTGACATTTAAAACACATGACAGCTGAGGACTCCCAGGGTGTTATGGGGCAGGCTGGCCGGTAGGGGCCTAGGAACGTGTGATGACTGGGGGGCGGTGTCTCATGTTTCCAGACGATGACAATCCTGTTGAGTGGCTTGCCTCCAGACTGGATGCGTCTTGCACTGTGCACACCTGGTAGTTCTTTCGCATGGGAGATGTCAAGGTCATGAGGGTAGGATGTGACAAGGTACTCTCTGTACCTCCTGGACCTCTCAGGAGAGTCTGCTTTACTGAATGTGATGCCACCCACTTGACCTTGGAGTAGGGCCGAGATGGTGACTTCATCGGACCTGGCTACATAGATGTAGGGCGAGGCGTGTCTAGGGATTATGAGGTCAATGGGGTCAGGAAAATAGCTAGGAAGGTCCCGTCTCATCCAGACGTACCTCTGGTCACTGGTAACTTGAGATGGAAATGCCAGCCTGGCATATTTATTACGGGGTGCTAGGGTGGGTCGTGGTGCCCCTCCCGTTGTGGGGGTGACATTGGTCGTCTTGACAGAATTATTACCTTCCCTTAACTTCTCTTTACGTAAGGTCTTCCGGCTTTTGTGTTCAGTAAAACTACCATCCGAGGCTGCTTCATCACTTGAGCTGGTGTCCTCATACCTGGCTATACTGGGATGGAGTGATTGGCCATGCTGTAAGTCATGCGGGGAGGTGGCTGAAGTGGACGCAACTGCGTCTGAAGCATTTTGGGAAGGGTCGCTGTGGGTGTCCCCAGAAGGCGGGAGGGAAGTGGCCATATTTGCCAGAGTCACAACATGAAGTGACAATACACAGCAGCTTCTACCACAGAGTAGCACTTCAGGCTATGGCCTGGACCCAGAACAACAGCGGCTACTAATCATAGTGCAGAGACAAGATGAATAGTTCAGACACTTACAAGCGAACGCAGGTGTATACGCGGTCAGCTGGCAACACTGCTGAGGGTAGTGTGGCTCCGACCAGAGTGACAGGTGTAGAGAGTGCCACTCTAAAACCTGCTTTATCCACACACACACACACACACACACTTAATAGTCCTCTACACTGTATGTAACACTGCACTGGTACCACCAATCACTGAGGCATCTGTATAGTGGTGTGCAAGTGGTCCGTTCGTGCCACCGTGTCCAGGCTGTACAGGGGAATTACAGCTTTAGGGAACGGGGCAATAGGGGCTAAAGTTCCAGCGCCCGGGGTACCACCTCAGGCGTCTGCCCACCAGGCGTGAGGTAAGGGGAAGCGGCCATGTCCCCACTGCCCAAGGCGCCACTTCAAATACATAGGTATTGTTTGTCCATATCTGATCAGATTGCACTGCTCACCACTTTGAAATCTAGGTGAAAGCTTCCAGGAGCTAGATGGTATATATCACTGTAAGGTTGCGAAAGCCTTAAGGCCGTCTGTACCCCTTTAGCAGTAAATCCATGTGGAGGGGTAGGCCTACACGTCTGGCTCACACCAGGGTAGCGACGACACTGCTCATTATCTTATGACCACTCAGTCAAGTTAAACTCTACGGTACCACATCACCACATTTCACTATCACAAAAGTCATTCTAACTGAAGCAGGTATATAGGCTATTGGTGAGAAACAGTAAATATATTTTTATTACATATTAGCGACACAAACCATTGTTCTAGGCTAATATATTGATCTAATTCCCAATTCTACAGGATTATTGTTCCTTTTTTTTGTGCCCCCATATTGTCCATGTACCCCCCGGCGCTGGTTACTAATAGTAGTTCATCTCCTCCCACAGCCTGCCTGGATGAGGGGCAAGGAATTCTGGGACACCAACTTCGAGAAGCGATACCTCAAGCGGAGGGCCAAGTGGAAAAAGCTGCCACTCAAGGTAAGCGCTCGGCTCCCTTTGTTTCTCTCACTCAGTGTATTGGGGAAAGGTAGAAAGGTAAGCATTCTCTGTCTCAGTGTATTGGGAAAGGCAGGAACCTCAGCATTCTCTCAGTGCAGTGATGGAATGTGTTTAAGAATCTGGAGATAAGTCATCCGGGAGTTCAAGCAAAAATATATCATTAAGGAGGATTGTGTTAAGGTGAGAGGTTGGGATAGGGGCTATTACGTGAAGAATTGGTGTAGGATAGGGGGCTATTACGTGAAGAATTGGTGTAGGATAGGTGCTTTTACGGGAATTTTAACACGTTAGTAGTTAGTGTACGGTTTTAAATTGGGGGGATGGGGTGGGTAGGGGGCTTTTACGGGGGGGGGGGGGGGGGGGGGGGGGTGTTATGGTAGAGTGGGTGAACAATGGGTTCTGCTCAACCTGTCGGCTGCCACGCCACTCAAGAATTTGCGCAGCTCTCCAAGACTTAACGGCGAGTATCCGGCGGATCATTAGGTAAGGAATTAGGATTTACGGACTGGAATACTTGAGGGTAAATTGGCTCTGGAAAGGGCTGGAAGTGAAGCCTGAAGTGAGCCATAAACCAGCTCAAGAGGCTGGGCTTGATCTAAGACGCTCTCGCCTCCCTTCACTTCATTTTCCTATTTCGGTTTCTTTCCTGTGTTGATTGTTTTATGAGGGAGAACGTCTATGGCAGTGGGCGGCGTGGGTGGGATACGGGCGTGGGCGGGTACAAGCGTGGGCGCGGGGTTTAGGGGCGTGTCCGTGGCCGTGCTGAAGGGACGGGGATGTTGGCCCTGTGTTTCGGGCCCTAAACAAAGTGTTCTATTCAAGTGGAAGACATTCTCGACTTGAGAATGGTCCAGGACGGACCGAAACGTCGTCGTCCCTTCACCTTCTAGTGTGTGGTCTGGTCATCTATCGAAGTGGAGTTTATATCCATTTCCGACTGTTTCCTTGTAACCATGTCTTCATATCTGTCTCTCTCTCTCTCTCTCTCTCTCTCTCTCTCTCTCTCTCTCTCTCTCTCTCTCTCTCTCTCTCTCTCTCTCTCTCTCTCTCTCTCTCTCTCTCTCTCTCTCATATCATTACACACACACGTCCACTCACGCTAACTTGCCAAAGTATCATCAATCAAAACTTGGCTAGTAAGATACCCTATCGCTTTGTCAAGCTTCTCTCCTCCCTCCTCCTGTAAGACAAATTACACGGGGAAATAATGATTGGAATGAATTTTAATTCCATGACTTATCAGTAAGCTTTAGCCCAAATAAAGGAAAATAAAATATCGAAGCTTGAGTTAATAGGGATGAATTGTCAGGAAGGTTGAATTAATGAAGCTGAATTATAAGGAAGTTTGGGATAATGGGGGATGAATTATGAAGAAGTTTGGGATAATGAGGAGGAATTATGAACAAGTTTGGGATAATGGGGAGGAATTATGAAGAAGTTTTGGATGAGGGGGGATGAATTATGAAGAAGTTTGGTTTAAAAGCAGATGAATTACCAGAAAGCTTGAGATACGGTTTTAAAGGATTTCTAAGAGGCTTAAATCAATAAAATACTTGGTGATGATTAGTGAAAAATGTATGATAAGGAAGGGGGGCTGTATTACTAAAATGCAACAAGTAACAGCCTGAAGAATCAATATATTGCCAGACAAACCTGGCACGCATTACTCGTATTTTAATCAAGGGAGATTATAGTTGCTGGTGATTGTACGTTTGGGGTCTGTACAATCAGCAGAGATGTGATCATATGTCTACGCTTATGGTCTCTACAATCACCAGATGTGTAACAATATACACGCAGAAATCACAATAACGTGATATATCAAATGAACAAATCCACAAGTGATGAGGGTTCGAGTTGCAATTCTTTTAACCATGTCGTGGCGCAGTCGACTAAGACGCAGCTGGGAACATCCCGTGCTTAGGTTCGAACCCTCATCACGGCCCTTGTGGATTTGTTCATGTAACAATATGCTACGATATTTCAGTGTAATTTTAATGTGTTGAATAGCATGACTTGACGCGGAAATACAAGTATACGCTTTTATTAAAGACCAGAAGTACAATATACGCTGTTGATTTAATATACGTCTATGGTAGGAAATATATTAATATTAAAAAGCTTCAACGCGGTAATTAACATCTTTGTCGTTACCATAGTGACCTCTGTAAGCCCGCGCCTCGACCTTGTGCCACAGGTGAGTGCCAAGTCAGTGCTTCTTACTGCTTAATGATGGTGAATTTGTCCACGGAGACTTTATCAGTCTCCGTGGTGCAGTGGTAAGACACTCGCCTGGCGTTCCGCGAGCGCTTTGTCATGGGTTCGTATCCTGGCCGGGGAGGATTTACTGGGCGCAAATCCTTAACTGTAGCCTCTGTTTAACTCAACAGTAAAATGTGTACTTGGTTGTAACAAGGATTCTTCGCGGCGGGGATCGTATTCCAGGGACCTGCCCGAAACGCTACGCGTACTAGTGGCTGTACAAGAATGTAACAACTCCTGTATATATCTCAAAAAAAATGAAGGTAGTCAAGAATGACTGAATTGATTCTTCTTGGCTCCCTGAGGTCCCTAAACTATCCAGGTGTCTGTCGTGACCTGAATGGCTGTCGTCGCCCTCTTTAATCAACCTGTCCTCTTAAAAAGAACGTCGCTTTGGGCCGATTACCCGTATAACCGAATTTGGACGTAATTTAAAAATGAAAAAAAATGAAAATAAATTTGGGATTTTTTTTTTCAACAACAGTAAGTTAAGGGTCCTCTGATAGGTTAGGTGGGCAGGAAATTCTCATAAAGTTTCAAAACGTTATGAAAAACGTGAATTCAAAGTCGTCTATTCTAACCTTACAGAGTCGGCCGGACGACTCAAACAGAAAACGGAACAGTACGTCACTTTTGTGAGTCGATTTTATTTCAAATTACGTCCAAATTTGGCCATAGTGCGCATACGAGTCAAAAGTGACGTTATTTTTAAGAGAACGGGTTGTTTAGTCAACACAACCTGAGTGGCTCGCGGGAGAGCACATTCTGAGTGTCTGACCTATAAGATACAATACAGCCCCAGGTCCAAGAAGGAACAGTCGAATGACGGATGTCTTTATGGTGATTGGGAGACGAGTAAAGGGAATTGAACGATGAGGAGAATGCGCCAAGGCATTACGACTGTAGAGGATGAATGAGTGAACATCGGGAAATTTATTAAATTTTGTAATAAATGTTTATAATGCGAAGAGTGATTACTTTAACCCCTAAACGGCGCAGGTTATCTTGAGATGATTTCGGGGCTTTAGTGACCCCGCGGCCCGGTCCTCGACCAGGCCTCCACCCCCAGGAAGCAGCCCGTGACAGCTGACTAACACCCAGGTACCTATTTTACTGCTAGGTAACAGGGGGCATAGGGTGAAAGAAACTCTGCCCATTGTTTCTCGCCGGCGCCTGGAATCGAACCCAGGACCACAGGATCACAAGTCCAGCGTGCTGTCCACTCGGCCGACCGGCCGACAGGTAGTCAAAAGTATTACACCGGGAAGCGCCTGGCTAAAATTATTAATATGGAAAATGATAAAACAAAAGCATATGACGATTTTAGCAACATAAAGGATTAAGGCATTTTAAATACCCAATGTATTGGGTATTTATCTAACAATCTTAACTACAACCCATTGTATTGGGTTGTAATTACGATTGTTTGATGATTTAAGTCGAGTGATGCGTTTCGCAACGCCGTGTATAATTGTGAGATGAAGGCCGTAAACGGAACTTAAATCCAAATGAATAAATGAATAAGTAAATACGAATGCAGAATTCCGCGCCCTTTTGTGCACTGCAATAAAATAATTCAGTTCCGGACAATGGGCTTTAGTTCTGAAGAGCTTACCGGGGGATGGGCTGGGCTTAGCGCACGCTTGAACGTGTTTACCTCCGAGGATCAACGTCCCCGCGGCCCGGTCTCTGTCTAGGCCTCCTACTTGGTGGTCTGGTCAACCAGGCTGCTAGCTGCAGTTGCTCCCAGTCTGATATACACTTGTATCCCACTTGGGCCAAGGATACACTTACTACTGTGTTTACACTCGTCACTTAGCGCAAGGGATACATTGTCCAGTTTATTAGCACTTGAGCTCATTGGCTGTGTGATCGACTTGTCCTCTAATACGTCGCCTTTTTAACGGAATCAACCCATCCGTTACAAATGCATCATATTATTGCAAGTTAAGGCACCGTATTATTAACGTTTTCCGTGAATCACCCTCGATGAGTTAGGTGGGGTGCTTGGGTTTGTACGTTTCTGGTTAGGCAAAAAACTGCATTTTTTTTACAGAGTGGCTCTGCCCTTCTCTTGCCTTCCCTGCCCCTCCCTCTTGCCTTCCCTGCCCTCCCTCTTGCCTTCCCTGCCCTCTCCTCCTACCCTTCCCTGCCCTGACCAGCCCCCTGTCACCCCGGGGCCACTGCCCCTCCTCGGGCATAATTTACAGGGGCCCCTCGATGGGTCGGATCAACGCTCGCTCGCCCTCGCCTGGCCCCGACGTGGCTCTAACATAATGCTCTCACGGGACACTCCGTCTTGGTGCTCCCAGGGCTGTAGGCTGGTGACAAGCCTGGCTGGGGTCTCTGGGCTGGTGACAAGTCTGGCTGGGGTCTCTGGGCTGGTGACAAGTCTGGCTGGGGTCTCTGGGTTGGTGACAAGTCTGGCTGGGGTCTCTGGGCTGGTGACAAGTCTGGCTGGGGTCTCTGGGCTGGTGACAAGTCTGGCTGGGGTCTCTGGGCTGGTGACAAGCCTGGCTGGGGTCTCTGGGCTGGTGACAAGTCTGGCTGGGGTCTCTGGGCTGGTGACAAGTCTGGCTGGGGTCTCTGGGCTGGTGACAAGTCTGGCTGGGGTCTCTGGGCTGGTGACAAGCCTGGCTGGGGTCTCTGGGCTGGTGACAAGTCTGGCTGGGGTCTCTGGGCTGGTGACAAGTCTGGCTGGGGTCTCTGGGCTGGTG